TTTTTTTTTTTGGGGGGGGGGGGGTTTGCAGTGACTAAAGATTAGTGAGCAGCGGCCTATTTTTATAGAAAAGTCTAGACTCTTCCTTAGGGTATACTTTAAACTTAACACTCTATATAACTCAGGTTGCTGGTTTTTTGGTTGGTAAAGCGTGAGTTTAGGCACAGTGCCATAACAGCATAAATGTGTGAGCACTGCTGACAAACGGTGCCCCTAGTTTCTTAGGGTAGAGGCCAGTAGCCTTTTGCAGGCATTGGCTGGAACTTGCAACCCAGCTGGGGCCTCAAGCCAGAAGTCTGTGCTATCAGTGCTTAAATAGTACAACTCTTCCATGAACTAAGAAATCCCTTTCTTCTCCTTAAAGTACTGTTTCTTCATTATAAGTTTTAATATCTCCATTCCAATTGGCATGCTTTTGGCCCATTAAGTAAAAAGAGGTTTTAAATACTTCTTTAAAAAAACCTTATCATTATAGGGTAATGTGTTCCAAGATGCTGTCTTCAATCAAACAGTTACAATTATTGAGAGAGAAGATGGACTCGATGGAGAAACGTAAGAAACAGGAACTTTTTAAGTTTTCTTTGGTTTTGTAGCAATGAGTTTGTATGAAACCAGTGAAAAATGCTCTTGCATTTTTGGGACGGAATAACCTTATGCACAAATACAGAATGGGGAATGACATGACAAGCTAAGCTGTACTGTGGAGAAGGTCCTTGGGATTACGGTGGACCATAAGCTGGATAAAGCCAATATTATGCTTTTGTTAGAAGGGAGAAAAGAAAAGCCAACAGCATCCTGGGTGGTATTAATGGGAGTATCACATGCAAATCCAGGGAAGTGATTCTTGCATTGTGAGAGCAACAAAATGAGCAGGGGCCTGAGAAGCAGAACTTAAAAGGAAAGTCTGAAAGAAGTAGGGTTATTTAGCCTGCAAAAGAGAAGACTTATAGTTTCATAGTTTCTAGGGTTGGAAGGGACCTGAGCAGATCTAGTCCGACCCCCTGCCATGGCAGGAAGAGCACTGGGGTCAAACGACCCCAGCAAGGTGTTCATCGAACCTCCTCTTAAAAACCCCCAGGGTAGG